GCCCGTGGGGTAACCCTGGGTCGAGAGACCCTCCTTGGGCACACCCAGCCTTTAAAGTGGGTACCCTTAATTAATTAAATAATTAGTTAAGGGGGAAAACCTGGCGGTTGAGCGTGATCTCTGTCAAATCACCTCTTTCCACAACCGTTGACCTAGAAACTGTGCTTTCCCTAAATAGTACTGAACCCTAGACCCTTTATGGGTTATAGTGGTACAGGTTTTTTTTTTTTTCGTAAGTTAATAGTTTCTGATATCTATTGTTATCGGGTCTTTCTTAGCCCCTAAACGTCGGCAAATATAAAAATTAATATCATTGATTTATTTTTAATATATTTTTTTTTATTGGACACCCCAACTAACTACAGTTACCAACTACAATCAATTATTCACTACAGTTAACCATCAATCCATTATTAGAATACATATAGTTAATTTTGTATATTGGCTTTCACATTTGAGGAAAAAAGCATGACTCAGAATCGCCTGGGCGAATGTAAATATAATATATAGGTGTGAATGTGTTTTATATATTTTATATTTCATTTAGTTACTCTCTAATTTTTTTTTTTTTTAATATATGTATGTTAATTTTCTCATTTTACTTTCTACCACGGGCGGATCTACGGGGGGGGGTGGGCTTTCGAGCTGAAGCCCCCCCCCCAAATTGGAAAAATATAACCATGTTTTATGGGAAATTTTTTAAAAAAATACCTCTTAAAGTATTATTGTTCGTGCAATTACATTTAAAATGACTTAAGGAATCACTTAAACACCATTTCATATAGGTAGTTAGTTTCTTTCTGTTTTTCCAATGTAATTATCGTTATTTTTATGAAAAAAAAAAAGGTTTCGGGCTGAAGCCCCCCCCAAAAATTAAATCCTGGATCCGCTAGTGCTTTCTACAACTCTTTTTTGCTTTTATCTCTATTTTAGTTATAATTTTTGTATGTTTAATGTAGCCCTAATGTTAATGCCCTCCAAAGCGGTAGAATGTATTAATTTTCAAATAAAAATAATAAAAAATTTGTATGATAAGAAATAATGAAGGCTTCAGCGTTAATATGGCGCGATGCGTCAGCAATACTCTTACGTTCAGACAGGCACATCCATTTCTTCCCTATTGCGGCTATTCCTTATAATTCGCGAATATGATGACTCTTACACAACCTTACCCAATCTCTCCTAAATATCTCACAATTGTTTCTTCCGCAAAATAACGTTTACTTAGCGATCATGTTTTGTTGTTAATCGCGTAAGGTTAATAAACAAATTTAAAAAAAATTGATGAGAGCCGGACTGAGCGCGGGGAGCGGTGGATCGGTGGAGCGGTGGAGATTAATGCCCCAGGCGGTTCGTTTGATGGACCCCCGCTGGCTCCCACCCGCTGAGCGGACCGTCCCCCCCGCCCATTGTCTATTTCTCAACACATTTACAAATATTCTCAAATAACAAAGATCCTTTATCTATACTACATCACCTCAGGCACGCTCTAATATTGAACCATTAGACACCCGTCGTAGTAGTACCTCAATCCTAGTCGTACTCGGCTACCTTGCAGACAACCTCTGCTAGGTCTTGTAACAGTGCACGCCTTCCTCCAAACTAAAAACATACAGCACTAACTATTACTTCGCTCATAATTTTACATTAGACAACAAACTATGGACAAAAATATACCAATTACAGAAATCAATATAAAATAATTCATGTATAGATAGATAGATGGATAGATAGAAAACAACTTCATTCTGGAAAAAAGACCCTTTTGCATAACAAAATTATGCAAAAAGAAAAATCCATACGTGCTTGTTTAAGTTGAAAATGTTTGAATATTGTAAGATAAGGCTCTGTTTATTTTTTCACAATATTTATTTTGATTTTCATATTTACGTTTCGGCCGCTAAGCCATCCTCAAGCCATTTTATTCAACCATGCTTTTTGCATGTAGTCCGAATTCTAATTCAATTAGAATGGCTTACCGGCCGAAACGTAGCTATGAAAATCAAAATAAATATGGTGGAAAAATAAACGGAGCCTTATTTTATAATATTAAAAAAGAAAAGATTACTTCTGGCCTAAAAATTTGAAACAATAAATTTAATTAAAGAACAACAACAAAAGTAAATCAAACCTGAAGTGAGCAAGCTAAATACAAATAGTGTTGCCCAAAACCGGTCTTGGTCTTGCTCTTTGCTCTTTGCAGGACCAATACCAATACTGCCTAACGGTTGCAAGACCAAGACTGGTAAAAAAAAAGTTGTTTTCATCAACTAGACGGTGAATTCATGGTGAATTAAATAATCTAATTCTATGATGCCTCGATATTTTCTTAATTACTTGTCGAAATGTAATTTAATTAAGAAAAAAATTACTCGATTCATTTATCGGAAGATTTAAATTAAATATATTGTGATTAAAGAGTAATTTTGTCTTCCTGGTTGCTGTTGGTTCCTGGTGGGTGCCTGAACGAGCTGTAACGTCGATCGGATAGTTCTTGAATGGGATTTGCGAAACTTCCAAAAATAACCAAACATTTATGTAAACGGGCTGGATTTATCTTTGAGTTAAAATCAGTCAGTAAAAGTTTTTTTAATTAATAGTAGTCTACTTACTGGTCTTATGTTTTCTCGAATGACTCTAGCATTTCTAAAGATGGTGTTAGGTGCGTAGCAGAACGCCTATTGTCTTGATGCCCTTGGTTAAGAAGGAAATTGTTCAGAGTGTCCTTATTGTAAGTTCATCGCGCCTTGACTGTCAACTGTTACTTGCTGCACAAGTTATCCGAACAAATCCTTCCCATTCAATCCCTGGATCGAGGTTATTTGTATTGCATTGTTCAAATAAAGCTTCATGATCAACACACAATCCATTAGGCCATGAAGTGACATAACAAAGGTTGAAATATTTATCACCCATATAATGTATAATCAAAGGCGATAATCCATTTTTTTACTTCATTATAGAATAAAACTCGATGTTCTATTGTAAATATTCATTGTAAATTTTTTTTTTACCAGGATTAAATATTATTAATTAAAGTAATATTATTATAAATAAGATTGAATTCAATAACTGCTCAAATTAATAATAATATGGCATGCCCGAAGGTTCGATGCCGATTCCATTCCAATCGTAGCCTGCATACCTTTCTCCAGTGAACTCAGTCATAACCTAAATCTTACAAGGTCAGGCTCGACACAATCCTCTTATTACATGATTACTTCGTTATCTAGCTCAACTTTTAACGCTTTTTTTTCAATCCGATGATCTTTCATAATGTATTCGATTATATTTACGGTGGTAGTTAACCTTCTAAATTTTTAACTCAAATATCCTTCTTTCAGGTACAATATGTTATTTAAAAAACTTAATGTATTGTACGTCTTGTTCATTTTATTTTTTTTTTCAATACAAATCTATTCTTAATAATTGTTGTTGTTATTAACAAACATTTTTTTCTCTTTTTCCTAGGGAGTCCAAAAATATATCCGTCCAGAGCCACAAATTGTCCGTTTTTTCAATACACCCACAAAACTGACACTATTGACTAACTATAAATTTATTCATAGGCATATTTACGAGTTGAAAATAATTAAATATAATTTAACTTAAATTAAAGAGATGTGATCATGGATGGATCAAATAATGCTAAATAAAATATAATTCAATGTTTGAACTAGACTTACGGGAAGTTCATACATATCTAATTAGATGATTGAAACGAATTTATAATCTTAAATAGTAAAGCTGTGGCAAGAAATATAATATTGTCATTCCTATTAATTTTATTTTTTTTCTAAACACGATTATATCGATTAATATGTCGAAATAATGTATGAATTTATTACACTAATAGGAGTGAATAGTTACACATATATGTTATAATTTTTACTTTCACTTACCTATATATGAAATGTATAGTAAGGGAAAGTATTGCGATCGCGAAAATTTTCGAATCTGAGTTTTCAACGGAAATAGATATTTTGAGGTCATATGAGTCGAAATAACCAAGTCCTGCAAAATGGTCTCTGTGTGTATGTTAACAGTCTAGCTCAAAAATGAAAAGTCGCACGGAAGTGAAATTGGATATTTAAGGTTTGTATATGCATGGAATGATACATCAACGTTTTCGTCAAAATCGGCTAAGCGGAAGTGGAATTTTATATTATGGACTAAACACATTTTTACGATTTTCTCGAAAACGGCTCTTACGATTTAGATTAAATTCATTATGACATTGTAAACTTAAGCAGTTTCAGATAAAATGTAGGTTTTGTCCTGATTGATGTTCTTTAACAGGGCGTAAATGGCTAATTTTCAATATTAGCTTCAGCTAAAGTACCTTTAATTTTATTTTTTGAAACGATTGACCATTTCATATTAATTTGTTATATAAAAGGTAATTAGATATCAAATATGAAAGAATAGTTTTAATTCAGGAACTAAAGGAATACGAGCGCATCCGAGCTCGCCCGAATGATTATAACATGCTTCCGTACCTAACATGAGTTTAATATAATACGGACTCCGACAATATTATGTAAATATACATATGTGGTTTTCATAAATGCTATTGTTAGTATTATTTAATATTTAATTGTATAGATTACAACGATATAAATACTAACATTAGCATATGTAAGGGTAATTAAACAAATAAAAATACCCACAATGAAATATAAATAAATATAGCGTCTTTAATTTTTGTTTCTAATAAAGTTATTAAGATAAGATGCCTTTTCACTTTTATCATCTGTAAATAGAATTATTATTATTATTAGTTTTTAATGAAAAAGTAAATACCTGTAAATTCTAATAATGTTTTTCCCTCATTTATTTATTCAAGTTCGGTAGAACTTTATGCTTATCGTAATAAATGGCTCGATTTTAACGTGAGTCGGGCTCACACACATGTTCCGTGTCTCACAAAGGCAAAGGTGTATACAGGGGGAGGAGCGGGGGGAGGATGAACGCCAAAATACTTCAACATATAAATAATAATGCGAATTTCGTTTATCTGTGATCCGGATGAGTTTGGTCCTATCCAGTCCGGATTAGCGGAACCCTACCGTAATAACGAAAAAATATTTGTTCGTCAGACGGTGAACAAGATAGACATACTATCTTTGTTGTGGAATATACGTGGAATACCATTTATGATGAAGAAAAAAAAAAGCCAGATAAAAAATACAAGAGTGAAATGGGTTTCATACGGCAGGTATAATGGAATACATTGGAAATATTGAAGGATGCCTCAGCTCTTTGACCGTAGGGTTTTACTGCCGGTACTGCCTCAGTAAATGGCATCTCTCACACTATTCATTTTTATTCATTGTCATTTCATGACTACCCAGTGAAAAATTTATTCCCTTCACTTTTTTAATCTTATTTTATTAGGAAAGAACCGTTAATATTCTCCTGTTCACCATTATATTGTTTCCTAGTATTAGCGAAACGAACCCTTTTCAAAACTTGGCTTGGCTTAGTAAATGTGTTTTGAGAAAAAAACTTTTTGAACTCAAATATAATGAATTAATCATTGTATAAATATAGCATCTAGAGCTTGGAATCCCAATGCTACCTTAGGCAATTCAAAAAAGAAAAAAAGTACTACTGGGTGGGAGAGTAGCTCACCGAGTTAGGAGCTAGAATGCTAAATTCAAGTTCCCGGGTTCGAATCCGGCTGATGTCAAGTTATTCTTCATCAGCCGTGGTTCGATTCTGGGGTCGGAAGACCCTCATGTGGCACCCCAAGCCTCTATAAAGTGGATACTTTTAATTACATATTTAATTAAGAGAGAGATCCTGGCGGTTGAGCGTTATCATGGCCCGATCACCTCCCTGCACAACCGTATAGAAAAATTTGCAGTGTTTATGGGGATGATGCTTTAACCAAATTCGGTCAAATTCGGTTTGCCAAATTTGATTCAGGAAATTTTGACTTCAATGATGCTCTACGGTCAATGTTGATGGCCATTGTTGATCAAAATTCCACCCAATTAGTGCGATAGATTGCTCTAGGGCTCTAAATGTGTCGCACACAAGCGTAGAAAACCATTTGCACAATCTCTGTTATGTTTCCAGGCTTAATATTTGGGTCCCTCACATGATTTTTGTTCGAAAATCACAAGAACTGTTATAACTTCAATACGACTTTAGCTATCTACAAGAAATTTAGAGCCACATAAACTACACAAAATGACAACAACAGGACCTTCCTAAACAAACTACAAATGGAGATAAAAAATAAAAACCTGTAAGGAGTTTTTGTTTATTTATTCCTTATGTAGGCATTAAAACAAAACATTCATACGACTTTGAAGAGTAATAATTCACCTTTCCAACCGGATACAGTAACATCGAATTTGGAGAACTCACACCTCATTGATCACTCGCAATAAATTATTGAGCTTGGATGAGACCTTTTGTCCCACATTCCCTATTCAACAGACCTAGCTCCAAGTGACTACCACTTATCCGGTCTCCGCAGCACTCCATGAATGCAAAGAAATTCTAAAACGAAGAGAACATAAAAAACCACAGATTTTTTAGCAATAAACTCCAGACATTCTATGAACATGACACTATGCAATTAGTGTAAAGATGGGGAAAAGTCATATTCAATAATGGTCAATATGTTGCAGATTAAAATAAATTTTATGTCTATAAAACATTGAGTTTTATTTCACCCTGAAAAACCGAAAAATCTTATTTGACGACCCAATAGGTACTTAGTATTTTTATTTTTTTTCCAAAAAAAATCTTTCGGGCTAGAGCCCTCCCTCCCAAAAATTAAATCCTGGATCCGCTTGTGGTTTTTAAAGATACGAATGGAGGTGTACCTGATCATTTAATATACATTTATTTGAACATAATATTCTAATATAGTTTTAACTATACTAGAAGAAGATACTATGACAAAGCACCTCTATTTTAAGGGGTACGCTTAGTAATTAAACAACCACTTCTTTTTTCTTTTTTTTTAATTTTCGTTTTAGTGATGGGTAGTGCTGTGATTCGATTCAAATTCCAATGGTAATTTAAAAATAAATAAAAAATATAAAGGTTGGTTCAACTGAATTACAGAGAAGCAATAAGGTTGCGAGTTATTGTGGAGGCTCCATCTGCGGTCACCAAGGACGGACGGCCATATTACATTTCCGTTTTATGAATTATATTAGAGTTTATGAAGTAATTACTCCACCTCAGCAATAAACTTAGTAGTAAAATTTGTATGTAAATTCAGACAGCTATTTCTCCCATTTATTCTGATTGTCGAGGAGTTAATGGCTTTCGATAACAAAGCGATATAAAACACACTGCATTAGTGAATAAGTATAATTCCAGAAATATTTTCTTTAAAGTAATGAATAAATGATAGCCTGCGGTCTTTAAAGGTATAATTTTCTATAATCATTATTTCATTGTTCCGTCAACAACTAAGCTCATAAATACATTTTTAAAATAAGATAAATATTTAAAAATAGTGTGATAAAAGCTTCTCTTTTTTTTATCATAATATTGAAAAAAAATTATTAATGACTTTTTTTTTGGTTTCATGCTTTTAATTAAATATTATTTTGCCTTTTAGGAAATTTACAACTGTATTTAAATAAAAATGCATCGACTAGCAGTTTTTAGATTTTTTATTGAGAAATAATACATTTTGCCGTACTTAAGGCCACTGAGTACTAAGGCTGAGTGAGACACATTCATACCATATATAAAATAGATAGATAGATATTTTATTTGTTTTAAGGGGGTTCCCCATACAAATAGAGCCTAGCTTGGCTATTGTACAATAAGATGGTTTTACAAATTTACATACATATGATTCAAATTTACAATATTTAACGTTTAGAATGGTTTTCACATGAATAGCAATAACAATTAAAAACATAAAACGATTACTGCATAATGTTGATTATATGAACCAGTTACTATGATAGAAACAATACAAAATAAAAATATTTATAAATATAAACAAAATATTACTCTTAAGATAAACTAAAAACAAACGCTTAATAGAACATGGCTATGATGAACAATTTTGTGTATGCATTTTGTGAACTACCATCATAAAATAGTAAACTTTATTTAATTTATCTATACAATCGATATTCAGTATGGAATCGACGTTGCGGTTATCAGAAGATTCTGATATGAAGTTTTGAAGGAATTTTTGTCTATAGTCATTGTATGCTGGGCAGTGAAGAAGAATGTGATGTAGACTATTGTAGATAAATAGACTGCATAATATACAAATTTCTTGAGACTCAATCGAAAAAGTTGTGGTTTTTGCATAAATTCTGATTTGTTCTGTGTTCGCAACTCTTAATTGACTGACACATCTCAATTTCTTTATGTGGACTTTAAATGTAAGATACGTTTCAGGATCGGGAGCATTGTAACTGCATAGCATTCTGTATAAAGGGTAGTTAGTGGAGTTTAAAGTTCTTTATGTCTGTAAGTTCTGTATGTCGGCTGAGAAATAATAGTTGTGTGCTTTTTACATTAGGAGATCACGAGGCCATCTTATTGTAGCTATAGGAACGAGAGGATCCGGATGATTCTGAAGTTTATTATAGAAAGATATGTATCTGGATTGGGCCAAATTGGAAACATATGGAATATTAAGATCGTTATGGATGATTTTTTTTTGTAAATAAGTAAGGAGTATTGGGAATTTTACGGAGAATATTGGATTGCAATAGCTGATCCAATTTTTAATTTTTGTTTTAGGGGGGGGGGAGGGCTTTAGCCCGAAAGATTTTTTTTTCATATATATAATGATAATTACTTTGAAAAAAAAGAAAGATATTAATTACCTATATGAGATGGTGTTTGAGTGATTCTTGAAGTACTATTAAATGTAATTACACGAACTTAATTACATGATACTTTAAGAGATGATTTTTTAATGTTTTTTTTCAATAAAACATGGTTACATTTTACCATTTTGGGGTGGGCTTCAGCCCGAAAGCTCCTCCCCATCTCACTCGTAGATCCGCCTGTGTTGGTTTGATATAGAGGAATTCGATGGTTTAGTGGAGCCACAATCCTAAAATCCGTAAGTCCAAATAGGCCTTATTATAGGCATGTATATGAGTCTTTTGTAACTAATTGGAAAGTTTGAGGGTTTGTCTAGTAATTTCTGAAGTACCTATAATCGTCGAGCGGTTTCTTGTCATTTCAGTCTTGTATGATAATTCCAATGCGTTTCTCCAAGTGGAGAATACTGAAACTGTTTAGTCAATAAATATTTAAGATTCATCTTCAAAGTAATACCAAGATTCCTCAAATTTCATCTTATTTCATCTTAAAGTAACAATTTGATGCATTTTTTTTATTCATTTAAAGTCAAATAAATAGTCTTGTATTATAATTTCTGAGAGATTGAGATGAAGCAAAAACACTCTGGTATTTCAAGGCTACTTCGGGTCCGAATTTACCGGCTCAACAGAAGTTTAATGGGAAAAGTTTGCCGAACATAGTTCGACTAGCAAACATCTTGTCGCCTGACCGGTAATTATAAAGTGTATCTACCTGCCTTTAATCTACTCAAAAATAAAGAAAAATAACGTATGAGATATAAAAATAAAATTACATATCACGAAGTATATAATATTTTTAGAACTATCAATCCATAATATATAATTTATGCTTCTACAAATTTAAAGAGAACCACCAAAGTTTTTATTTAACCGGAAGATGTGAAGGTACAAGGGCTTTTTTCTACTTTAAACACACCCGTGAATTATTTTTTAATTTAGTGATCTCACAGTTATGAACAGTTTCTTATATATGGTTAGAAAACCTAGAAAGTAGACCTATCCTAGAAAATAATGGTATATAACGTTATAAATATGAATTTATTAAATATGATCAAACATATATATTTTTTCACTTTTCTTAAGGCATGACATTTTGAATATAACACATTTTCATTTTCCTCCAAATGTATTGATTTCTGCACTTGAAATAACCTTTAAATGGAATACTCGCTAATAATCCTATAAGGAACTGTTGTATTTCACTGGTGTGTTTAATGTAAAAAAGAGCCGCCTTTAGTTTCATAGATTTTACTATGCTAAACATAAAACCGTCTGTTACTCTATACCCGAGGATTTCAAGTCGAAAATTTGAAGTCAAGTTCACTTTTTTTTTTGGTTTTCAAACTTCTGTTTGCCGCATTAGGAAAACTTTTAATTCTAACGATGATAATGTTCTAAACTTGTTTCTCTACCTTATATAATTTTCGAGATATCCGTTCTCAAAATTCGCTATTCTTGAAAAAAAAAAAAAAAATACATGGCGTTTTAATATTTATTTGAGTGACTAACTTTTTATCTTTTCATTTTACGAAAAAGTCACGGGGAAAGAAAGTTGTTGAACATAAAATCTCCTTTAAAAATAAATATTATTTACCAATTTTATCTTCTATCCTTCAGAAGTTAAAGCAATTATAACTCAACGTGTAAATTTCGAGATTTTGTGGTATGACATTACTTTCGTATTTCTCATTTTATACAGCTGTTAATCTTGATTGAAAATTCGGATCATGGGACCTGGCACTCTGACTATTTTTAGAATCCCGTTAACAAATACACAAACTCTGATTACTTAATAAAAATGTTTAAACATTTTTATTATTTATAGGCACAGCCACTCGGGGTCAAAATAATACATCATGTCCCACTTATTCAATATTCTACACGACATTTTTTGTGAATAGTAATAATATAAAGTTTTATAATAATTTTTGTTATGATATCAATAAATTATTGTTCTACAATACATAATCATTTTTTCTTCAAAATAATTTTTTAATGATGGTTTAATTTAATTATAATTACTTTAGTAAAGTTTAATAATAATTCTACCAGGGTTTGAACTATTTTTTTTCTTTTACTTATTCATAAAACTCTTATTGCGAAAGTATGAATATTAAAGTCAAAATTTAATGGCTTTGCTAATCTTTGCTCATTAGACAATTTCAAATCCTGGTGGATACAAAACACAATTAGGTTTGTCGTGTAAATTTATAATATACCATTACAAAATAACAATAATTTATAAATTATTAGAAAAAATTATTAGCTCGTCTACACTGTTATAACAACGAAATAATATTTTTCAGGTGAAGCCCCCTTCTCCGGAAGTGACGAAGAGGACGAAGAAGAAACGAGTTCGGTGGGTATGATGAAGGGACATCACCTCCACGGACCAGCACTCCACCAGGCAACTGAGAGCAACAACAACACAGTTGCTGGACAACCACCACCTGACTCCAAACAGCAGGACGACTCGGAAGATCAGGGTAAGTTCACTGGAAATAAGTGAATTATATGGAGTGAGCTTTGTTTGGACATTAATTGAATCGGTGAGAATAACATGAACAGTAAATGAATGAACAGTATCTGCATTCAAAGGTTTGGTTATTCTTTGAATCATTATCATTGTTTTTTAAGAATTGATTAGGTTAGGAACTACGAGCCTATGGGCAGATTTCGAGAAGTGAGGGGGCGTTCGCCCCCTCCTCCTCCCAATAAAAATGTTGAGATAATATCGTTTCGCCTCCCCCCCCAAAAAAAAAAATAAAATTTATAACAAATAAGCTACCTGAAGTAAATTTGCATTCATATTCAGGAAAGATAATTTAGAATCATACTTGAATTCTATGATTCATTCACCTTTCATTTGGAGGCCTCCATTTTCACGTGATTTTCTAAATATGTATGATAAATTTTCTACGATAAAGTTGGAAAAAATGTATTTAATAAGTACAAATGTAAATATATTTTATAGAGAATGTATTTTCAGAAATTTTCACATAGCAAGACTGGGAAAATGTTTTATTTTTTTTGGAAGTTGTGCAAACTAAGAAATCAAAAGTATTTTTCAGTTTTGAACATTATTCATTTTTAGCTGAAAAAGTTCTAGAAATGGATCTACGTTATGGAGGCTATCCCTAATTCTCTCATGTTAAATTTATACAAATTGTAATTTACCCAATAGTTGTGTTCAGATATTTTCAAGTATATCCACAAGCACATACAAAAAAAAAAAATCCTACAAATAAATAGGTTTTATTTACTTAATATAACGCGAATAATTCATAACAACGAAAACCAGTAGGTGTGAATATCTCCTAAACAAAACATTTGCGGACATACCATCAAAGGAAATTTTTTTCTTGTTTTGAGGTCCTTAGTTCATTTTTACAGTTCGGCAACTTAACCCTGAAAAGCCCTATATATTAAATTAATTAACCATATGAATACAAAGTTATAAATATTCTAATTTTGAAATAGTAGCACGTTTTAATCTTATTTATATTTTTTTAGAATTGACATTGTTTGACATTGTTGGAATTGATATTGTTGTAATAAACTAGATATAAGTTAATATAATAATATAATTGAAAGATATCAAATTTTGGAGTTTTGGTAGGTTCTCGCAGTGGTATTAGCAGCATATATGTAATTGTCATTAAGTAATTAATGATTATTATTAACAATGTTTTTTGTGACTATTTGTAGAGAACTTGAAAATGAACAAACTGCTCGAAACGTCGTGAAACGTTAAATAAATTGTTAAACTATATGGGCTTATATATATATATATATATATATATATATATATATATATATATATATATATATATATATATATATGTATATATATACATATATATCTTTGGAGACATCATTTGTAATGTTTATATAAACAATTTCTCTCTACATAAGGGACATACTGTTTATTCCAAATGCATCTCTTCCCTCTGGCACGGCATTTATTTGAGTAGGACAAGGCGGCGCGTAGCCAAGGCGCGTGTGGTCAGTGGCGCATGCCATTTGTGGTTTAGTTGCGGCTAGTAACAGTGGCTTTTGACAATGAAGTCCCTCCAAGTTTGTTTGCTTATGTTGAAAAGTCTAATCCTTTGGTGGTTTCGGTCTACTGGCTGCAGTGGTTTCTATTGCCACCATTGCTCCTCCTAAAGGCAACCAGGTTTTATTTTTCTGATTCTATCAATAGCGGTCTCTTCGATCAATAGCGATCAGCCCTGATGAAGGCCTGAACTTCGGGTCGAAACGTCGGCATATGTTAAAATAAATATTATTTATTTTTGGCTGATCACCCCAACTATCCTTCTCTTCAATATTCACTACAGTCAACCATCAACCCACAATTATCGCGATTTTTTTTTTTTTTGTTTAATCCTCTAAGAGTATTTTTATTTAACACATTTTGAAAACGTTTTTTTTCTCATAGCATGTTGTTTAGAGCAATCGTCGGCAAACTCTTTAGTCATTAGAGTGATTGGCATGATTGAAGAACATTTGCAATGATTGAAATTTGTTTTGAGAACAATTTTTTTCATGTTAAACTGTCTAGGTCAGGGGTACCCAGGACGGGGTTTTATGGCGCAAGTTCCGCCATCAAAATTTTTTGAGGGCATATTTCGACGGGTATTTGATTTTTTGAGGGGGGCACATTTTAACAGGTTATGAATTTACGGAATGAAAATTTTCAGAATAAGGGACTAGGGAAAAACATGGAATAGACAGCAGCAAGTTTAATTTTGTTTGATCTACGATTTTTCTAACTCAACTTTCCTTTTGTTTTTGTTATTTTCCTGTTATATATATATGTGATTTATCTCACATAGCTCTAATACTTAGTGTCCTCAAGTCTGACGGAATGTAGGAATATCTTACAAATTTTAAAAATTTAATGCTCCGAGATTGCTTTCGCATTCCCATTCTCAAGATCTTTTATTGCTCTTTTCTTCTTAAACACAGTGTAAGCTAAAGTAGAATTTTAAAAATCATAGGTCATATACAATTACACTTTCTGTGGTCTGTCCTATGCTTTCCTCGTGTCCCCTGGTTTGAAACTTTTCATTTCGAAAATTTATAATCCTGTTGAAATGTGCTTCCCCCACTAAATCAAAATTCCTTCAAAATGTGCCTCCCTCAAAAATATTTATGGCGCAACTCGCTCCATGAAACCCCCTTCTGAGCACTCCTGATAATCCGTGTAAATAATAATTAATTGATATATAATTGCTAAATAAATTTCGAAATAAACATTTCTATTAGAATAGTATTAATAAATTGGAAAAATAATCTAAATTTCGAATCGGAATAAAGCCCGAAATAAACTCAGAGACCGTTTCATTCTTATCCAAACTGTTATTGTTATCAATGAATAAAAAAAGGAACCAAAATGAAAACCAATAGGTTGGTTTTTCTATGACTCATTTTGTACGTTAATAAAAGCTATTGTTTCTTAGTACAAGCAATAAAAGAAGTGCGATCAAGTGGCCATAAAGCCGCATGTGGCTCGCTATCATATTTTGCCTACCACTGATCCATAGCGTATTCTTGATGGATCATAAACTAAAATCAAGACCTAGCCCTTGGTGATACAGCTCCTCTCCTGAAAATTGAGAATACTATTTAAGTATCACGTATTGGAGTGATCGTTCACGGAGAGAATTAAACGGTTTGTTAAAATCACCATGGTTCATTGCCGGAAGTCAAACAGACCAGATAATAGTCATGCAGATGGGCTTTTTGTAGTATGTTGGGAAATCAGAGGCGTTGCTGAGTAAATGGTGAAGCTGCCTTTATTGAGTTGTAACTTTTTTTTTGTCAATGTGAGCAGTTTTTTTTTTTATTAAAATCGATTATTAGAATCTCTATTAGAAATCGCAGATCTGTAAGCATTGCGTGTCCGATAGTTCAAGCTGATAAGATATCTTCTTGTCTATGCATGGATATATAGAATATGACAGGAAGGCCTCCGGATTCCCACATTTTCATCAGTAAAAACTAACTCATAGATAAATATGTTGATGTTTCGGGCATTTATCCCCATCCTCAGGCATAAATTTTATTAAAAATTGATCTCCATATAAGTTTATTTTAACAAAATCATCAAATATATTATAAGAAATAAATTTATAACATCTGGAAATTTATTATATATAAAAGAGTATAACTTCATAATTGTTACAAACTGGTAAAAAAGAATTTTATAGACTTTTTATTTTACTGCTGCTTTGTCTAATTTTTTCAAATTAGTTAAATAAATTTCATTTAAAAAAAAAATGTTTAATGGTCACAACATATCTTATCCGAACTTTCGGGTTATCCAGCATGGTCCAGACAGGTCAACGGGGTTGTAACGTATTTCAGCATACTAAAATGTAGCTAATTGCAACGGATATGTAAATCGTTTTACTTGTGGTAGTGTATATGATCTATTCATGTAGTAATTGCTAGTACTAAGCTCGCAAAAAATTAAATATGTCAATTTTTTACGGCTATAAGAAAAGTCCTTTAAATTTTGGTCTGGAGGGGGAAAAGGGGGATAGAGCAGAGTGAATGTGTGCTAGGGATTGGAATAGCCTTCCAGTTTAACCGAAAACCAATTGTTTTCATTTCGTTTAACCGGTCTTTTCGGTAATTTTTTTAATAGTCCAATTACCTGGTAGAAATAATCGGGCTTAAAAAAAATAATAATCTTATCAATTTCTAAAATATAAATTTTTATGCCAGTAAAGGATGAAGTCACCTTGTTCAGTCTTTATTAAGTCATTGATTTAAATTAAACAACTATCGTTTTTGTATGTGGAATTAATAATTTATATGAATCATCTACTTAAATACCAAATCATCCAAAAACCGATCATTTCATAAGATGAGAAAACCGGAGTAACCTACAATCGGTTATTTTCCAATAATCCCTATTCCTAGTTAGTGTGTGTGTGTGTGAGTGCAAAGGTGGGTAAATGCTACTTTGAGAACCGAGTACCAAGTATTTTACTCAGATTGAATCTCTATTAGGAATTCAAACTCTACTTCAGTTAATCTTTTGACATCAACTGAAGTAGTAATTAAATTCTTTCGTACTCTAAAAAGGTCAGTATTTGAGTAAAATACTTGGTACTCAGTACTCAGAGTAGCATTTGCCCATATCTGATGTGAGTGTGTGTGTACGTGTGGGAGAGAGAGAGAGTGAGAGAGAGTGCGAGAGCGAGATACAGAGAGAGAGAGAGAGAGAGAGAGAGAGAGAGGGAGGGAGAGAGGTGGACGAATGATGACCTGGGAGAGGAACTGTCCTCGGACGTATTTGTGTCCTTCTATCTTTAGCCGAGTTAATAAGTGCCACTGAGACCGAGGCCAAAAATCCAAAGAGCTCCGTCACTCAACTGGCACCTGGGAATAATTACGTCATTTTTTAAGTTCCTTCCTGGGTCTAGGAAAGGCGAGTCGGGTGGTCGCCAGTTATTATTTTAGCCGTCGTCGATCGAGGTGGCGCTGACTAGTGGTGGTGGGGATAGCTCCCCTTGACCCCCCTCTCCCATGAACCTCCCCCCCCCCTCCTGCCACTAGACACATGTACCTGTCCCGTCGGTGACATTAATTCTCTGCTCGACTCCTGGGGGTCAATACAAATTACGGTTCATTTACGAGTCCTGTTGACATGTGAAAACTGTGCCTTAATCCGCTCCCGTTTGAGATTCTTACAGTGATGATTAGTCCGATTTATAATTTTTTTTTTCCCTCAAACACTTAATAGTCCCGGTGCCGGAGGCAAAAGAAGTGACTTATTTCATACTGAGGTCTGCCCACATAAATTGGCCATGTCCACAGGTCTGATAAGAAAAATGTACTTCCTTCTGCCATCTTACAGCCCCTGGTGGATAGGTGAATATATGTTGAAAAACAATACAAACCAACGTTTTTATTTAACCGAAAGATACAGTTTTCAACCCTTTAAATTTATGCAATTCGCCGTCCAAAAAAAACATGTAATAATAGTAAGTTACCCCATACTCGGAGATTTCAAGTCGAAAATTTGAATTTATGATTCAAAAAGTTCACATTTTTTGGTTTTCCGTTTATACCATTTTTTTATTTATTTTTTGAAATTATTTCTTAATGATATTTACAACTGTATGAAATAATAAAATCTAGTAAATTTGAACATAAGGATATAATGACATGAAACACTGAGTAACTACGCAATGGTTGCACTCTAATGATACGTCTAAATTAGGAGATCACGGGGCCATTTTCATTTCAGACGCCTCGGAAGGTTATCAGGAATTGAAGAGGAAGCAAGGTTAGAAACGAGAAAGTGTTGATGATTCTAAAGTTTATTATGGAAGGATAGGAATCTGGATTGGGCCAGATCTGAAACAAAAGACGTTTATACCAGTAAAATTATGCGTTCTAGCGACAAAGATTTTCCATTAATACCACTCACGTGGATGAGAGAGAAGCGCCGGGACTTCCTGGTCTTGCTTTTCCCTCCAGTGGTGGTTGGAAAGACTTGGCTCGAAGTTCCCCTGAAGGAATATTGTTAATATTGTATATAAGTATTTAAATTTTTATTTTGATAAATTTATCTATAAGTTTATTTTTTGTTTATATATAATCTTAATATTATTATTTTACTGGCATTTCATTTAATTTATTTTTATATATAATTAATGTTATGAAAATGAACTCTTTTATTACTGTTTTTAATATCCTTAATTGTGGCAGAATGTAATATAACTCAGTAAAAAAATGATAAAAACAAAAAAAATCTGTTCTGCCTTTTTTTAAATTTATTTATTGAGTGATAAAACATTCTGTCCCAATATGAATGACAGTTATAGAGAGGATATATTACATTCACACCATATTCACAGAAAATATAAATAAATAAAATAAAACAGGAGCAAAACAACTAGTAAATAATAAAATAGATATACAATAAACAAAAATAAAATAAATTAAAGACAATTAAAGTAAAAAAAAATATATAGACACGCCTATTTACAATATTTACAGTTAGGCGAAGGAATTCCGAATCTGATCCCCCCACCCTCCACCTGTGGATGAAAAAACAGGACTCCAGGAGATCCCTACGCTACTCAACCGCGTCACTTGTACTAAAGCCAGTATGTTCTGACTTCAATCGGCTAGACGTCATCTACTACATATAAAAAAGAAATAAAATATATATTAGTCTGTATGAGTTTGAAAAACAAAATTTATATTTATTTATGTAATAATGAAAACATATACTTTTTTTTTAAGAGCTAAACTATTTATATACACCTATAGGTGTTTATGTAGGTGACCTATGGACCTATGGTCACCGACGGTAGAAAGGGCACAAACAATGGTCGAGGAGCGCCTGCTTTGGAACCGGTCTTGCGGTCATTAGTCATCCGCGCAATTTATGAATCGGAGGAAACAAAACGTGGGAAAAAGCCAGCCCCGGCCACACCACATAATTCACCACTGAAAAAAGTCTACAAATAAAAAAAAAAAAATGTTGTAAGAATGAGCTAGAGGAGTTTGGAAGCTTCCTAAAAGGACAGCCGTACCCCAGTCACTCTTCCACCGGGTTGAGGATTCCTTTACGCTTTATTTAAAGTTTGTGGTTTTCCAATTAAAAAAAAAAAAAAAAAAAAAAAGAATCATAACATTCTAAGAAAAATGAACGTATATCAGTTTGGTCGGGAATCAGTTAAAGCCAAGTAGTAACAGAAAATTGGCTTGTTAAGGTGGATGGATAGCGGCACAACGTTCCTGGCCCAAGTCCATTTAAATCGATTACTGAGAGCCTCCTATCGAAATAATTTAAAACACCAAACTTCAACATTCCCTTACCCGAGGCAGCTCATAAAATAGTTTATCTATTTTTAATAATTTTACATACATACACGTATGTATATGTTTACGGCACAAACACATAACATATATGCATATAGCACCAAAGTTAGATAATGCTGTAAATTATAGGACTGACAGTAGAAATTTAAGTAACTTTTATTCTCAAAAGACTACTACTTTAGCTAATTTGTTTTGTTTTTTTACCTTTGTCTGAGTAATCAGCTGTTTGATGTTAACCTTCGTTTGATGTGCGTTTTTCTTCTTTTGTATTTTGTCTTATTATTATTTGTACTTTTTTATGGCATAATTATGTATTTTGGTTTGTAATTATCTGTCTTTTTTTTTTTTTTTTGCTGATCAGCTGTTTGATTATAAACTTATTCAGCTGTGTTACCACATCTTCATTCCAGTATGCGATTGCATATCATGGAGTCGTGTGATCTTGAGTTTCTTTTCTTTTCTGTCCTGATAATGCCTGAATGGTGAAACGTTGAAAATTTATTTTATTCTTTACCTGCATTGTAGAGCCACAAGGCTATGATGGTTGCAGAAATTTTCCAAATATATTATTATAAAGTATGTATATGTATATATGTATGTACGTATACAGAAGGAACAAGAGAAAATGAGTGGGAGAGGGATAGCTACTTTATATTTAACTTTATTAATCTTTAATTATTGGCGATAAACATCTTACTTGGAATGATTTTATTTATTAAAATAACATGTCATATATTTGTTATATTATGTTACAATATCGCCTTACTGTTATTTATTTGTCTTCCATTCCATCGTTTTATTTAAAATTTATTTTTAAATTCATATATTGGGTATTTATGTGAATTATACTGTTTAACTTCATTTACTTTTTTTCTCTACATTGCAATTTATTTCTCTTATTATCAGGATCATCTAGATTATACTAATAATTAATAATTATTTTGTAACTATACTGGAAGAGCGAATTAGCTTTCGGATTCAAGGTAATTATTTATTTTGTTACGTCTTGGATCGATCCTGGAATCAGGAGACCCTCCTATGGCACACCCAGCCTCTACAAAGTGGGTAATTAAATAATTAATTATGTAGAAAATCCTGGCGGTTCTTCATGATCTTGAGCCCAGTCACCTGCCTGCACAACCGTTGCACTTGAAACAATATTTCTTTAAGTGCTGAACCCTTCATGGGTTCTAGTGTTACAAGATTTTCATTTTTTTTCTCTGTTTCATATCCACGTTTCTTGAGTTTATCTATCCAAATGGTTTTTATTATTGTTAAATGAATACTAACATGAGTATCTAACAAGGAATCTATTACTATTTTTTCAGGCTCGCTTGACGGAGATCCGGAGACGAGGGACTCGCAAATAGAAAACAAGTCTCCGGAAGATGGCAACTCCGGATCGAAAAGAAGAGGCCCAAGAACGACCATCAAGGCGAAGCAGCTTGAAATCCTCAAGACGGCATTCGCACAAACACCAAAACCCACGAGGCATATCAGGGAGCAGCTTGCCAAAGAGACGGGATTACCTATGCGAGTTATACAGGTAAGCGATTAATGGTATATAAGTTAAACTTAACATTGGGAGGGTATTATTGAAATATTTAAAAAAATAAATAAATAAATAACCCACCCGTCATATTTGCACAAATCGGGTTATTAAAAACATAAGATTATATAAATACATCTCACATCGACAATTACGTCATTTGTACTATTTTGAAGCGATGAATTATGTCTATTTGGGTATAATTTTTTTCATCTAATATGTTCTATGTGCTGTTTATATTACCAGATTCTTCTGATTCTAATAATTGGCGAAAAATTTGATAGATGCAGGAGGCTTTTGAAACTTTCAATATAATCAGATTTCATTTCTTTTAATTTCATTTTAATACATTAATTAATTATAGTTTAAAATCCGAGAGTGATATTTTTCTTTCCTTCTGGGAAAAAAATTCCCCTATTTGAATCGAGTAACACTGAAACATTCACCGAGATAGAGTCCTATATATTAACTCTTTTGAACATCAGTTTAAGTCACATTAATATTAGGTTTCGTATAAAACATTCTGAAAAAAAACTACGTCTAAAAAAATATAATGGACTAAGAAAGATAAATACAATTAACGAAGAACAAATAAAAAAAAAAATATCTAAATTAAAAACAAATATATAAATAAAATAAATTGAATTTAAGCTAAAAATATAATTAAAATTAATAAATATAGTTATACAGAATATCTAAAGAGATCCCTGCGCTTCTCTTCCAGTTTCGTCACTGGAATTGGAAAAAGCCAGTGGAGACTCAGAGAAGGCACTAGATTTATAGACGCTATGTAGCAAGTCGTTTTTTTACAGTACAAGTTATTAAATTACAATTTATTCTTTAAAAAAATAATATCCATTTTTGTATTAGGTTTATTGTTTTATCGGGTGGTCTAAGACGGATAAAAGAGAAAGATGCCGACAATTAAATACGTTAACACCGACTCTACATCAAAATAATATGAGGAAAATTCTAAAAAGAATCTTACACACAAACCCTCTCCCTCCTTCCCCCCCATCAAAAAAAAAAATAGAAGACAATTCTGTTTTAATAGGCATAAAAAAAAAAAAAGGTTTCAAGGAATATGAAGAGGTCAATTTCAAAACAAAAACCTCTTGCCCCTCAAGTTCAAGTTAATTACAAACATGTCAACGTCAAAATCAGGCGTCTTAAGGACTAAGGACTCTCACTGATACCTCCCATTCTCGAATAAAGGCAGGAATAATTTGTCGTTTGCTCCATTCCGTATAACTAGTAACTCAATTCAAACTAAAACTCCAAAACCGTAAACTATTAAATGGGAATATATAGAGCTATAATTACACAAATAATTATCATAAGATTTTTTTTTTCAATAGGTTACTTGTTTATTGATAAATATTACAATCTGTCTCAATTAAGGGCACTTATAATAGAGTTGAGAGCACATTCACACCATATTTACAAAATTAAAAAAATAAATAATGTAATTTCAAAATAATATACAGCGAAATAAGAACAAATAAAATATCATAATGAGGGAAGAAAATAATAATAATAGTCATAGTAAAATTAAAATAAATAAAATAGAATTAAAATGTTCTTAAAAAAATAAATAAATAATAAAAATAAACATCTTAGACGTAGGCATACCTAAATAATAAGATATTAAACTTTTTTATTATATGTAAAGAAATCATTCATTCAGTTTATTAAGTTCATATTTAATTATCAAAATTTTTCTGACAAATGTTAAGAAATTCTGATGAATTCAGTTACAAAAAAAATTGATGAATATACATTTTAGCAGGATATGAAATACAGAACTGTTTCAAAAGTTTCAATTTAAGCGTTTTTACAAAAGTTTGTACTATTAATGTAAACGCATATGCGAAGGGTATTCATCTGTAACTGACAATATTTTTTTTGTTTTGTTTTTTCTCATTTTTATAACGAATCTTCTTCTATTTCAAATGTTCTATTAAGAACTTTTATAGATCATAGAACTGATAAAAGTCCAGGCAAAAAAAGTTCTTGGAAGAATTTTTATCATTAAGTTCCTACGATAATGTTCTCATAATAAAAGGTGTTAGAAAATCGCTTTTACATGAACCGTTTCAAAGAAGATCCTAACAAAATATCACTATTTTGGACGATAAATTTCTTGTAAAAATTAATTTCTTCTGTGTTTACGCCTTGATTATTTTTACATTCCTCTAGTAGTTTTTATTTATTTTATTTTTTTATTGAGTATCACAACAATCTGTCTCTTGGACATTGGTTATAGTGAGATAGGATGACATTCACACTATATGTAAAAAAAAAAAAAAAATAAATAGAAACAAAAGTATATACAATAGACAATAAAATAAAATAACCTAAAAAATAAGAAAATTAAAACTAAGCAAAAAAAAAAAAACACATGAATACCTATATACATTTTATTTATTTAAAAAAAAAATAACAACACTGTTGTATCACGACGATTCACAAGCTTATATCGAAATTTCGGTAACCATTATAAGAATCTTACGCCTGAAAACTCTGACTATTCATAATCTAAGATAACCTTCGATACAGTCAACCAGAAATTCATCTCTAACTTATCATTATCCTATCGTATGGTGTAAACCTTTTCCACCCCGTTTAACAGGGTCGAAGACAGAGGATCCCAGAACGATTTGCGGGATCTGATTTAGGGCATATGGTCCATAGTGCCAGTTGGTTGGCCTTATGGTGTCCCTTCCCAGCCGACAATGCACGAGCGATGACCACACTTCCCTCACTACACCCCTCCCCCCCCTTAATAGTGAAGTAGTTAGGGCTTAACAATTTTATCTTATCTTTAACGCTGTAAATAAGTTGCAATAATGTGCAGTGCAGTGATTTATAGCGATAATTAAGCATACTACAAAATAATTTAAAATGTATTTCGGAATCAGCTATTTCAAAAAGGATTATGGTTCTGTTTCCTGCAAGAATTGGTACAGTGGAACTCCGTTTATCCGGAATATTGAGAGCAATGCATTTTCCGGATAATAGATGTGATTATAAGTAAATAATAATATATAAATAAATCATTTTATTTATATATTATTATAAACCAAAGTTTATAAACCAAAAAATGGTTTGTTTGGTAGAGATTAATACACACATACTTTTTACTACATGCATTCTCAGTAATCACTCAATATGTCATACGTAACATACATAAAAAACTTCGATAGATGAAGGGATTTCAAATATTTTTTACTGAAATCGAATTGTATATTTTTGGATTAGGTTGTGTTGTGTTATGACACTCAACATCTTGAGTCATTGCCAATTTTTTTTTGAAAAATTTACTAGTTTCATCCTTTAAGGCGCGGATGTATTCGAGATTGTCTTCGCCAGGATTATTTAGGGCTTTTAATTTAGCAGCTTATCTTTTAACACACATATTAAAACAATCTTCATCGAATATAGGTTCGTTCTTTTTATTTTTCACAAGATACGAGTTACCGATCACTTTAATATTACCTCTGATACTTTAGTAGCTGTTTATGTATTATAGTTTTAAAATTCTGATTGTTTACGTATTTAGCTTCGATCACTCACTGTAACAAATATGGGCATATGAAAAAAAAAGTTCAGTCTTTCCCCTTCAGATTAGCCAGTTACTTCAAGAAAATGTGGAAAAACCTTCAGAATAGTACACACTTACATGCACACTCAATATTATTCAATGGCGAATCAAACGTCACGATACTGTTTTGCATATTTTGGGATCTAGGTTTGGTTTGGCTGGAAAACAAACCAGGTCGCAGAACCTTTTTTCAATCTTGATCCATAGCATTGCTGACAAGTCTAGGAACCGGGAGTCCAATGTCAATTAGGTGTAAACCAGGCTGAGGAATGGTGGTAAAAAAAGGCAATGGTTGTAACCGAGAGATTTTTTTGCCATGACAGTTCCCAAGTATAATTAGCACCACCACGGACCATCTACGACTCAAATGAGCTGTCCCTTAGGTCGCAGACAGAAATATTTCAGGGACCCGGAAGGGGAAGTGCTTCTTAGGCTTTTCAATCAGGCTGTCTGCCTCTGGGAGGGGAATCTGAAAATTAATAAGTCTATTAGTGCTACCATGTCTTATGGAACAGCTAAGGATTGTAAACTAACGAAGCTTCCTCTGTTGATGTTCCATCTTAGAACTAGGATACTATTCTCTTTATTTTATTCTTAATATATAAATGTATATTTATGTTATTGAGAAATATAAAATATGATAATTTTACAGAAAAGCCAAAATTAAACTTAGTAGTTTAATGAATAATATGCAAGAATTGTCCTGACTCTCAAAAGATAGTTAGCTGTTAAGAAACTATTTAAATTTATTAAACTGTGTTCCTATATATATATATATATATATATATATATATTTGCCATATATATTAATTTTTATTTACATGCGTTGCTTATTGCACACTTTTTATTATTTAATTGTTTTTGTTCTAGTTATTTACACTAATTAGGTACACGTTTTTTTTCGTAAATAAAAGCCAAACGTTTATAATAATTTCAGGACTTAATTGCAAAAACTTTCCTTAGAACTTTTATTTTTTAATTTTTTTTTTCTACAAACGTTTCAAGAAAATTATTTTTTTACACTTTTCTTTATTGAGAAATATTATATTTAGTCGAAGTTAAGGACTGTAGTAATAGTGATAGAGTAGCCGATTCACACTCTATGTACAATAAATATGAATAAATTAAACAGAGAGAAATACAACAACGTTGCACGGCTGCTCAACTGTGTTGAGTTGCTAAATAACACAGCATACTCATCAATCGACAGACAATATAAAAAAAAAAATAAATAAGAGAGAGTTAAGTCGGAACATTGGAATACATATCAAATATGCCAAGAACAGTTTACAGAATTAATTGACGTCCAGATTCTGATCGTTGGTTTCAAATCTGATCGTGGGATCCAAAATTAGTGCCTCCTTTTCCGTCGCATTGAACGCCAAGATGTTAATGAACCTTTTTT